CTATATTTCTGCATAAATATGACCCAAAACATAATTAGATTTTCACACAAATCCTGAAAGTAGACAAAGATAATCCAATCAAACAAAGGAGACAACAATATATACTTTGTCATTTATTTATTGAGAAAAATGATCCGGTGTTAAATATTCAGTTCCAGCTTCAGTATCTGGTGTGACCCTCTTTTGCAGCAATAACTGCAAGTAACGTTTCTTGTAACTGCTGATCAGTCCTGCACAACGGCTTGTAGGAATTTTAGCCCATTCCTCAGTACAGAACGACTTCATCTCTGTGATGTTGGTGGGTTTCCTCCTATGAACTGCTTGCTACAGGATGCAGTGTTTTCTTTCTCCAAACATAACGCTGCTCATTTAAACCGAAATGTTCTATTTTGGTCTCATCCATCCACACTAACAGTGGTCTTGAATTTCCTCCATTTGTACACAATCTGTCTGACGGTGAATTTGTGGAGTCCAAACTCGTTAGAGATGGCGTTGAAACCTTTTCTAGCCTGATGAGCAACACCAACTCTTTTCCTGAGGTCCTCAGAGATCTCATTTGTTTGTGCCATAATGTTTGTGCCACTTCCACAAACATGACCAAACTTTGATAGATCCCTGTTCTTTAAATAAAACAGGGCACACACTGACACCTGATAGTCATCTCACTGATTGAAAACACCTGAACAGATGGACTCTAATTTCACCTTCAAATTAACAGCTAATCCTAGAGATTCACATACTTTTGCCGCTCACAGATATGTAATATTGGATAATTTTTCTGAATAAATAAATGATAAAGTATATATTTTTATCTCATTTGTTTGATTGGGTTCTCTTTGTCAACTTTCAGGACTTGCATGAAAATCTGATGATTTTTTGGGTTATATTTATGCAGAAATATAGACAATTCTAAAGGGTTCACAAACTTTCAAGCATCACTGTATATGCAGAAAATTTAAGCAAATTTTCATGTTTTATAATAATGTTAAAACCCACCTTATAGTTACAACTAACCCGAGTAGTGGGGTAGGTCGGTCCAATAGAAGTAAACGGGGAATGTCACCTTACAGTCCCCCCTAAATTGTCAGTGATTTATTTGTTTGTTTGTTTGGATGAATGTTTTGGCTGATTCAACCATTTTAAATTTCATTAAAAAAAAAACTATATTTTACTTCATTGCCTAATAGCTTTTTAAATTACATTGCCTAAAACCATCACCCTAATGTTACAGTCTATCAAATTTGTAAGTATTGATGTGCTTGCACTTATTGCACTTAAGTTCTGTTATGTCTGGTGAAATCCAAAAACTGCATTTCATGATAAGAACTTCATATTAGCAGCTTCTGTAGCTGAAGCATGGTTGTGTCATGCAGAACGACAATGATCAAAACATACAAGCAAGTCAACCTCATAATGGTTGAAGAACAAGAAAATGTAAGTTTTGGAATGGCCAAGTCAAAGACCAAGTTCAACTGAAATGTGCAGTTCATGCTCGAAAGCCTATAAATGTCACTGAGCTGAAGCAGTTCTGTGTGAAGGAGTGGGCCAAACCCACCACAGTGCTGCTGGACACTCATTAAGAATGACCTATTCTCACTCCATGGGCATCAGAGCCATGAGCAAGGTAAAGCAACGTGCTCGTCACTCTTTGAACAGCCACAATATTTTTATTTACATTTACGTTATTCTTTTTTTGTGCTCCTAACCCAATGCCTACTCCCAAACCCATTCATATCGCCATATAAAATGACAATATACAACACAGGATAATAACATGTGGATACAAGTACAGTCACAGTAATTTATTTAAAATTTACAAATATTCCAATTATTCCAAAATATTTTTTTCCTGATATTGTTTGCTGCCATAATAGTCTTCTTATTTTGTATCCGTTAGTGTGCAGCACTTGACGGGAAGTGTTCCATCAGCTGTGACAATGATGTGAGTGTCAACATTTGCTCTTTTTTCTTTTTCACTATTTGCAGTACACAATTGTTCATGTTTTTGTTGTTTTTCTACCACCTGTACCACTTTTCTGTTGCCCCACCCAATGTAGGAAATCAGCTGTTACCTCATTGACAACAATGGATTCATAATTGTGGCTGAGGATCTGTCTTTGGTGAGGGACAATTATCTGAAGTATTATCCAGTTGTACTATACACTGTATACTTACCTGACTATTCATACATACTTAATAAATGTATAATGAATAAATCATTTTTATTCAATAAGCTAAAGTATGCATGTGTGTGTGTGAATAAAATGAATAAAAGACTGTACTTTGCTAGATTTTATTTTTAGTATCACAGTTTATCTCAGTTGCTTAGACACAATCCATTCTAACCCTAACCCTATCCTTGTCTCTTTCAGACTGGTGTGTTCTTTGGAGAGGCTGAGGGAGCTGTGATGAGCAAACTTGTTTCAATGGGTTCTTTTAAGAGGTATGTCAATGCTGGATGAGACAAAATACATTAGATTGTTTCTCTTGAGTATGAACAGACTACATTTTTAGTCAATTGGTGTTATAAAACAAGTTGGAGGAAGAGAAAATGCATCATTAGAGAAAGACATACTGAGCAAAAATATATCCCACACTGTACTTATTGAATATTAAATAATGACCCTTGACCGCTTATCTAATATTTTAAACTAATAACTTACAGTTACAGTTACTGCTAAAAGTTAAATTCCCAAAATGTTTAACATTAAATATAGTTTCTAACATCAATCACTTGAGCTGTAAATGAGATTGTAAATATGATTTTGTAAGTTTTTTTATTTACTACATATAGCTGTCAAGGTTTCATAAAATAAACACATTAGCAAGCATGTAATCATTTATTGATAACAATCAGTAACTAGTTGATTGATAATAGTTTCAACTTTAGATTGGGTACTGCAAAAATATAAACAATTAATAAATAATATTTTAATCAGCTTTAATAATTTTTATTCAGTTTAAACCACAGGTTTAATGTCATTTAAGTATTCAAATACACATTAATAAATAATCTGTCAAGCAGTTATCTGTTAAAGTCATTTGTATATTTTTATAAAGTACATGATCATTGTCACGGGCAGGGTGTTCAAGAGATCAGGCAGGAAGACGAAGATGACGAATAAACGGATATTTAACCAATAGACAACAGGAGATCCAGACAGGGTAAACATCACACAGGGTAACATTCACATTGACATTGACAATAACCGACACACTAGACTACAAGAGGCAGGAACTAATATAGGGCAGATAACGAGGGGCAGACAGGTGAGCACAATAAGGTGATTAACTGATAATGAGGACAGGAACAACCAAATAAGGACACCACAGGGAGAAACCACAATCCACAGTCCACAGGGGTGTGACAGATCGCCCCACTCCCGGAAGGCGCATCCTTGCGCCGTGGAGACAGAGGGAGGGACGGAGGGGGACTTAGGAGGAGTGGATGTGGGATAGAGACAGGGGAAGGCAAAGGGCTGGCAGGCAGACATGATAGGTGGAGGCTCTGGCGGAGGACGGATATCCGGGCGGAGGCCGGCAGACCGAGACCAGGGAGGTGACGAAGGAGGGAGGAGACAGGAGGGACCCGGAGCAGGAGGAGCTCAGCAGGACCCAGGCCACAGCCATAACAGCGGCCCACGGTGGAGCCGACGGTGGGAGGAGCCATGGAGGAGGGATAGCTGCCGACTCCAGGGGACTGACCAACGGCGGCGGAGCAGGTGGAGGAGGAGCCCGAGGCAGAGACGGAGAGCCAACGAGCCAGGGGGATGCCGAGGATCCGGGGGGCCAGGGTGGAGCCGAGGGCTCTGGCGACCGAGGCGGAGATCCAGAGATCCGCGGCGGAGCCGGAGCGACTGAGGACCAAGGTGGAGCTGGAGGGAGGAAGGAGCCCAACGGAGCCGGTGGGACAGAGCAACAAGGCGCAGCCAGAGGAGAGGAGTGCAGAGGCGATGGCAGGTCGACGCCCGACCAAGGTGGAGCCAGAGGGACGAGGGAGCCCGGTGGAGAAACGAGGAATCAGGGTGACGGTGGAGGCGAGGG